GTGACCACTTTTATCGGGAACATATTTTGTCATTTTTGTTATGTTTTTGATGTATTAATATGTCATATGGCATATCAATCGAACGGATTCGATGAGCAGAACATATTTCCGAAGAAATCAATTAATTCGGATATCAAATAAAAAAGTTATCATAAAAAATAAATTTAAAAATTTGCAAATTTTTTAAGTTTTGTTATTTAATATATTTATTAATGGTATATCTTAATTAGTAATTAAATAAGAATTAAAGTAAACTTTATTCATAAATAACGTCTAAACCACTAATAACATACAAATTATAGTGATAGGTTTATTTTTGTGATAACTTTTTTATTTGATAACCGAATTAATTGATTTCTTCGGAAATATGTTCTGCTCATCGATTCCGTTCGAATGATATGCCATATGACATATTAATACATCAAAAACATAACAAAAATGAAAAAATATGTTCCCGATAAAAGTGGTCACTACTCCCGAACCCCAACTCCTGCGACGGAATGGACACCACTCACGAAGACCTCTTGGCATGTGTATTCATATCCATGTCAAATGGTGACCAGGCCAGCGGGGCCCAGTAACCTATTAGTCGATAGCCCAGGCCTTTACAATTAGGTCAATAATAAAAATTTATATATTTTTAAACAGTTAATTAATTTTTAACAAACAATTAATTCGATTATAAACACAATAAATGCCAACACAAACAATGCAAACAATACAATAAACAAATCTCTCATAAATGATAACTCAATTATTTTATTTTCTGAGTCTGTGTTTTGTTTGGTATTTAAATCATTACTAATAATGTCTTTATTATTAAGATTAGGTTTAGAATTAGGTTTAGAATTAGGCTTAGAATTAGGTTTAGAATTAGGCTTAGTCTTAGGATTAAGCTTTGATTTATTTTGATTTCTCAAATTTCGTATACCCGTTAAAGTTAAATTAGTAACATGCCTATTTTCGCAATCGATATTAATTCCCGACTCAATCATATTTTGTATGATTTTAAACACTAAATGTCTTTTATGTTTTTTTGATTTCTCAAATTTCGTATACCCGTTAAAGTTAAATTAGTAACATGCCTATTTTCGCAATCGATATTAATTCCCGACTCAATCATATTTTGTATGATTTTAAACACTAAATGTCTTTTATGTTTATGTTTATCATTCAAACAATTTGTGGTACATTTCTTAATGGGGTGTCCCTTAAGTGATGGTCAATACTTTTCTGACCCGATCTCCAGCTTTAAGCCAATATTTAGTAACTTTTTAGTCAATACAGTCCAGCCTTCTCTCGCGTAAACAACTTCTCGCCTCTCAACCAATTTAAATAATGCCTAGGTTAAATAAATTTTATTATTTATAATTATTATTTAATTTATAATAAATTAATAATTGTTACCTTATAATTATATGGTTTTCCCTTATCTTTATCATTTATAGTTATAATCTTGTTTGATTTATATAATCTATCTAATTGTTCAATATAAGTACCATTTTTAATCTCTATATATAAGTCCCATATATGTGTTTGTTGAGGTATAACCAAGGGCATTTTTGACAAAACAAAATCATCAATTGAATTAATATATATCCATGTTTGATTTACTATTGATGTAAGTATACTAGCACAAAATACATAAGTTAATAGTAGGGTTGCCAGTGCCCATAGCGTGGCTATCATATCATATTTTCCATGTTTTGGTTGCATTGTTTGACACAATAAATTTCTAATTGTGTCTAGTACAATTCCGGGAATGTCCATGAAGGTTTGCATTTCTATCGAATATTTTTGTAGATTTAAATATTTTATTTTACTTTGCCAAAATAATATATCAATTAATTAATACATAAGTAAATGCTTATCCTTATCCTTATCCTGCTAAAAGTAAGAGTAATTTGGCTACGATTACTCTTTAAAAAATTAACTAGTTTATTAGGATATTTTTTGCACAATTATTGCACAGATAACATATAAATTTTTAACACAATATTACTTATTAAATTTATAAGTAATTGATAATATTAAATTCACTAACCAACAATTTTGGATTTCCAGTATTTATAAAATGATATCAAAATTACGCATGTTAATATAAGCAACCATATATAAGTGGAAAATATTTTAACCATGTTAAATATTTCCGGTTGTTGTATAAATTTGCCGCTTAGAAATACAATGCTATAATCTTGCCTGGACCATTGGATATCAGATAGTTCAAGTATTTCTTGTTGCATAACCTTTAAATTTAGTGCCAAATCAATATCCTTAGAAATAAATTAGAAATAATTTATTTATAAATTATAACAGAGTATCAATTCAATAATTATAATGAAACTTGTTTAAATAAAATATATACCAACCTCGCTCTCCTTTAAATATTCAGAAACCCTGATATAATTTTTATAAATTCTTAGCGTTATATTAAACGTATGATGATTTCCATCAGATAATTCTCGCAGTATTTGTTGCTCAAAGTTGCATACTTTCTATCAATTATATTAAATAATAATTAAAATATACTAATTGAAATAAATATCACAATGAAAATTAATTAAACATATTGTTAAAAATACCTCTCCATATCTGATAATAAGCAACGATTGGTTACTATTTGGATCACCTAATGTTGTGTCCCCTATTGGGTATACCTCACAACGTTGTAAATCATACGGCACCATGTTAATAATTATATAATTTTAATATTGTAACAAAATTATCATAATTAAATAATAATAGTTAGTTAGTTACATTAAATAATTATCTAGATTAATTTGCAGACTAAGAATAATTACAGTCTGCATTCAATACAATAGTCCCTAATCTTTGTAACCTATGACCTAATATGCTATAAATACTCTATGTATTTTGGAAGATTATAAAATGTAACTATAAATATCTATACAACTACTTTTGTATTCCTTTGTCTAAACAATTAAACTAAACGATAAGTTATTATTATTATTAATGTTGGTTCTATCATTTATTATAATGCAATTTATTAAATAGCCAATATGTTTTTCAATGAAGATATAATCATTGTAAAACATGTTTATTTGAATTAATATGTAAAATGTTGTATTGAATATGTTGAATATGAAATATATTGTATATACTGTATGAATATTAATGCACTTACGTTATTGTTATATTAATAATTCAACATTTGAACTGAATAAAATTATATTATATTTCATAATACTAATTGAATTATGTTAATATTAGATCTAATATTGTTAAGCATAATCTATATAACTAACAAACAAAAATGCATTTTATTCTATGATGGGTTATTCAGAATAGGTTACGTAATGGGGAGCGATATAAATGATTGTCATTAATAATTAAAAAATTATAATTTTTAAGTGTCTGTGCAGACATGTTATTTGTCACATGCACAGATATGAAACAATTAATCCCGTGCATATTTATATGTATATTTTGAAATAAAAACATACCTAAATACTAATTTAATATTTTGATTTAATTATAGTAAAATAATTCGAGAAAATACTAACTCAATATTACAGTAACATTTTAGAAAAATTAAATTTTATAATTTAATTACAAAATATTGTACATTAACTTAAACCTCTGGAATATTTTAAATGTTATCAACGTGTTACTAAAATAATATACTCAAACCATGTAGAAATGTCATTGTCAGTGTCTAGATTGTCATTATCATTTTTATTTAATAAATGTCAGTTACGTTTTTATCATAATTATCAAATAATTTCCTGATTATTTACACAACAACACACATGTAAAAGTTTTACTAAGTTAAATGGTTGAAAAATGAAATAAACATTACTTATTGCTTATTTCGCCGAATTACATTGATTACAATAGTTTCCGGTAACACCTTTTGGGTATATAAGTAATATAAGTTTACAACAATACAATTGTTTATTTAATAAACTATCATAGTAAAATAAAAGTCCAAAAATGGCTAACCCCTTGATAAATTACCCTAGTTTAAAAGATTTATTTGTACAAAATGAGCGAATGGTCAGGGATTTTGACCAAGATGATATTCAAACCATAGGAAAGGGTACTTTTGGTCAAGTGGTCAAAGCCAGACATGGAGTGGACGAAAAAGTATATGCCATTAAGATTATTGAAATTGAAGGTATGTAAAAACTATCATAATAATTAACAAAATTATTATAAAACACATTAAGTAGTAAAATCTTTATATGCCAATAAAATGTAATTAATTTTAATTAAATGTGTGATAACCAATTAATTATTTTATTTTACAGTCTATAATGTTTAAAAACTTATAGCTCGGTAAAATAAGAAATGATATAATACTAATATGTACAAATATGGTAATTCTCATTCTTAATTTCATTTAACTCCACAATAAACTTAGGAAATGAAAATCAAATACGAGAAAAATACGACAAACATATACGAGAAGTGAAAGTGTGGGCCAAACTGGACGCTCACCACTTCGTACAGTACAGGTCCTCATGGCTGGAGTGCGGGGGCGGCCCCGAGTCTACCTCCCGGTGCCCACTGAGCCTTAAGTTCTACATACAAATGGACTTGTGTTGGTTCACACTGAAGGCAGTCATCGACAAAATGTGGGTATATTTCGAGCGAACAGAAAATAAGTTGTGGCCAGAGTTGGGCGCATACGTGGCCGGCGAGCTGTTGATTGAGATACTAGAGGCTATCGATTATTTACATAGACTTAAGCCACAGATATTGCACCGGGATATTAAGCCCCGTAATGTGTTGGTCAAGTGTGGTCCCGGCGCCCGGTTTGTCAAACTGACCGACTTTGGTCTGGCCGTTGAACATAAAAATGAGTCCGAAAGTCATACCATCCGTGTCGGCACCGATAAGTATATGGCACCAGAAGTGAGAAATACAAGCAAATACAATACGAAAGCAGATTTGTATAGCATTGGTGTTACCATTCAGAAGCTGTTTAATTATGACATTTATAAGTATGAAAAATATTATTATGTTTATTTATTGATTTACCATTTGTAATCTCTCTCTCTCTCTCTCTCTCTCTCTCTCTT